GACGGATATACTATTTTACACACACACACACACACACACACACACACGCGTTTACTTAGCTATCTAAATGGGGACATCCCATAGGCGTAATGGTTTTTATACTGTACAAACTGTATATTCGATCACCCTATACCTAAACCTACCCCTTACAGGAAACTTTCTGCATTTTTACAATTTAAAAAAAAACTTTGTTTACTTAATTTTTATACCAGTTTTACAAATGAGGACGTCCCCAAAGGTAAGTTTTTGGAGATTTTGTCAGGTTTAGCTTACTTTTGGGTACAAATTTGTCCGCAAAATATGGTTAAGTACACACACACACACACACACTCACACTCACACTCACACTCACACACACACACACATCCAGAATAGTTTGTCTACATGAATTAGTGTGAAATTGTGGTTTTGCATTTTTATTATATTATATTATATTATATTATATTATATGTAGCTTTCTAAATTGGGACATTCATAAACTTCTATTGCTTTTTTATACAGCTAGTTATAAATACTATAATCTAATCCTAACAGAAAACATGCTGTATTTTTACAATCGAAAGACACTTGGTTTGCGTTATATTAATACTGATATTGCAAACGAACCTCCAAAAAGTAGGTTTTGTCAGGGTGACCTCACTTCTGAGTACTAATTTGTCTGCAAAATGTGGTTAAGTCAGTAAAAACACACAGAGAGATTTTCTCAATTAAAGAATCACAGTGCAAACAAACTGTTCTTGATGAATTGTTGACTGTCCAGGTTAGGTTTTGTGCTTGGATGAAGAACTTAAATTAAGCCATTTATGAGACGACAGACTAAATTTCCCATGATTCAGCATAGCAGTGAAACACATTTAAAGCATCAAGACTCATTCTGATCCATTAGCACTAAATCGACTTCCTGCGTTTTTTAAAAACAAAACGACTTGAAGGATCTCAACGTAATCATGTTTCTGAACTTGTAAGTAGCAAGCAATGGATTCTATCGATCTGAAGAGCTTCACAGTCACTGACTGATCAGGAAACATCAGAGCTGCGGATCTCTCACACAAACAGAGTCAGATAACAACACGTCTCCAGTCCTTCAGAGACACAGAGAAACCTCACATGAACTCAGTAATAAAGCAGCAGACACTCACCGGAGAACCGTGCTTCACCGTGCTTCAGTGTCCAGATGAGGAGAACCTGGAAACACAAACACATGTAACTCAGATATTTTTGTTAAATTAAAAAGTAACTCATTACTAGCATTGTAAGCCTAGGTTGATGGTAGATCCATTGCCACCAAAGCAGCTACGATCAACTTAGGCTTTTGGGAAACGCAGCCCAGGACGATACACACATCAGAAGAACCAAAGGACAGAAGATTCAACAGGATCATTTCGGTTACAGAGGTAAACAACTCAACGCAATATTTATGATTTCTCTCTTTTTTTTAAAGGATAAACATCTTGCAAACCTCTGCACTCAACTGTAGGACAACATCACTTCACTAAAGCCTGAAATCATCCGAGTCCAGTGCACTTCATAACCCTAGCATCTCCAGCAGATTCACATTCATGCATTCAGCAGACGCTTTCATTCCAAGAGTGAAAGAGCGATGAAGACAGACCTGGATGAGTGATACTCCAGCAGTCAGAAGCTGATGTGTGTTCCTCAGCAGCGTCAGCAGCGACTGAGCCCGAGCTCCAGCGGCCCGCCCTCACAGCCACATTAACCCCAGCTTTTGTCTTTGACTCAATGGAGGTTAAACATTTCCTGCTCTCAGTCCTCACAGTTCAGCACACGCTACAGAAGCAGAGCGCTTATGTGTGTGTGTGTGTGTGTGTGTGTGTG